TATATATACATGACTTTTGAGCTTTCCTTCCATTTTGTTTGACTAAATGACTTTGAAGTCATATCTAACCTATTTATATTGCTTATATTCATCCTTTTTAGATCTTGGCTTAGAGAGCTGTATTGAGCATGTTTGGCACGATACAATTGTGTATCTTGATAGCAATGATCCAATTTTAATTGGCCGTGCATATGGTAGGGTTAGTCGACACCTGTTGCATGAAGAGTTGTTGAGAAGGTAAGCATGATTCTTGTGTTTCACTTCCACAACTAAGTGATGAATCTTTGACTGATAATGGTATGGCAATTATCTTCAGGTGTCAGGAATATGGTGTAATGTATCTTGATTCAAAGGTGGAAAAGATTATTGAAGCAAGTAATGGATGTAGCATGGTTGTTTGTGAAAAAGACCTTATGATTCCTTGCAGGTACTACAAGGTATGTGGTTCATTGTTAGTTAAATTTGATGTCTGACTGTTGAAAGTACAGGCTTGCTACTGTTGCATCTGGCGCAGCATCCGGAAAGCTTCTCGAATATGATGTAGGAGGTCCTCGTGTTTCGGTACAGACAGCATATGGAGTGGAAGTTGAGGTAGGAAATGATTATAAATAATGTTCCTTTTGTAGTATGTTGTTTAGATGGCACTAGACCGTCCTTGCAAATTTCCTTATCAATCTCAATTTTTTTCATGTGGATGCAACTCCATTATGCTTAATTTTCGATTTTGGCTTTAAGTAGCATATTATATATTTTCAACATTATTGGCCAAATTTACTAAAGATACTAACTTGTGGCCTATAACCCAATAACAAGCCACCTGACTTCCAGACACTACCAGCACAATCTTATGCTTTATGCTGTTATACAAAAGCTTTTTGTTCAAGTATAGGTATATGCTAAAATTGAAACCAAGAGAAATGATGGAGAGGTTGCTAATATGCTTGGCACATATCATGCTAGTAACTGATTTGTGGACAATTCATGGATCTAAAAACACTGAATTATTGTTAAACATATTGAGAAATTTGTACATGTCATCATTGCTTCAATCTGTTAAAGACCCGGGAATCTTGTGAAATTTAAAATGCTGATCTTTTGAACTTTTGTGATAAACCTTCAAAAAGTGGAGCTACTAATCTGCACTGGTTGTTGATTTTACTGGTCATATGATGGTTAAATGACGAAGTACAGCATCAAAATCTAGCTTTTCCCTTTTGCTCCAACCAGAAATGCAGTGATATTTATGTCACCTTATGCTTAGTAAGTTGAATGGCATCCCTGGATTATTGCCAAGAGTTTATACTTTCGTTAGCCATAACATGATTAGTAAGTTGAATGGCATCCCTGGAGTACTGTTAATGGTTTATACTTTCATAAATATAACACGATTTGCAAAACTTATTGACAAAGTAGAGTTTCTTGGTTCGGTTCATCACATCAGTTAATTCCTTTGGAAGGTCTCAAACTCTCTAAATCTAGCATTCTAATATAAAAGGGAACAGTATTCTCACACTTTTAGTAAAAAGGAACTTCCATCAATTAATTTTTGCAAATTGATATCCATTAACAATACTGCTTGAGCTTGTATATGCATGAACAGCCCTAATGGTAAATCAATCTTTTCAGAATATTTGGTTACATGGCATTCATTGTATAGTGCTTGGTACATCTCCATCTGTATTTCTGAAGATTTAATACAAACACTGCACTATTCATGAGAATGTCAAGTTTGTCCCATTTACTTCTTTATTTAGCAATATGCTATTCATGCCTGCTCAGTTGCATCTCAAGATTTAGCAGAAAATTGCCTGCTTTCTGGTGTCATGCTTGGTTTAAATTGTTCTTAGAAAATTATGGGTATACTGACAATTAAAAACTCTTTAAGGATGAATATTACTGCAAAAGATAGTAACATAAAGGAAATGTAGGAGGATCCCTGAAATAGAAGTGATAGGGTGTTGCAATTATATATTTAAGACATGCAGCAACCATGCAAAAAAATCTGCCAACAGAACTGTTATATGAACAAGCATATTTAGCCAACTGTTTAGTGGAAGGCAGCTAACTTTTAGAAACTACACAGGAAAAAATGCCTTAGAGTGGTATACAAAAAACAGATGTTTACAAGTAGCAAAATTTTGATGTCCTACTTTTTTTTTTCCAGCTAATTAATGGATCCTGTTCTTCATGTTTTGGAATACAAAGATTGAAAACTGTGGGAAATTTACTAGCATTGTATCAAATTTTCGTGTATGTGATGCTTGTCGAATATGAAAACTTTTTGTGATTGTTTACTTCTTTCTTTTTGATCTTTTTAGTCATATAACTCCTAGCTGTAAATATCTCTGTGGTATGTAATTTCCAGGTGGAAAACAATCCATATGATCCCAGCTTAATGGTTTTCATGGACTACAGAGACTATGTGAAAAACAAACAAAAATGTCCTGAAGCAGAGTACCCCACATTTCTTTATGCAATGCCCATGTCATCTACAAGAGTCTTTTTCGAGGTTTCTTTGCTATGTTCACTAAACGTTTTTGTTAAGATTTACTCACACATTATAATCAGAAGGTTCAATGGTGACTTGATTATAGGAAACATGTTTAGCATCAAGAAATGCCATGCCCTTTGATCTTCTCAAGAGGAAGCTCATGTCTCGGTTGGACACTATGGGAATTAAAGTATTGAAAGTCTATGAAGAGGTGAGCTGTTGAGATAGGCTTCTGAATTTTTGTCATATAATTTTAAAACAGAAAAGGTTGTGGACTTCCATATGCGCTTTTGCCTAGCTAATCAGACTATTAGCAGTGTGCATGAAACTCCAGCGAAATCATCAATCATGACACAGCCATCAAGATTGAAGCTTCTCTTTTTTTCTAAAAACACATTGTTGTATCAAATATGGATAACTTTGAAAGCTGGGACAAAAATAAAGTATTTCTCTTGCTATTCATCAAGCAACCATAAAACAAATGTCAAAATAACCAACTATTTTTTAAACTGATATAAATTTCAGTTGAGCCCGAAAGTTGAATTTTGCAGCTGAAAGTTTCTATTTTGATTCACAAGTTTCAATAGTTTTCTTCCAGTTCTCTTGTCCTAAGAAATTCGGATTGTTCTCATATTTCTTGTTTAGTAACAATCAACACTGCAACTACTCCTAGTGGGGTTAGGAAAGTTACTTGCTTTCATCTGCAGTATGATGACTTTTTTGGTCTGGAAGGAGATTAAGCTTTGGCATATTTTGCAGGAATGGTCCTATATTCCTGTTGGTGGATCATTGCCAAACACAGAGCAGAAGAACCTTGCATTTGGTGCTGCAGCTAGCATGGTGCATCCAGCTACAGGTATGAAGTCCATGGTTCTCAACTTCCCAGTTCACCTATGTTTCCTTTTTTATATATTTTTGTATATACAGTGACTGTAACCATCATTATAACAAATAAACAGGATATTCAGTTGTTCGGTCCTTGTCAGAAGCTCCAACTTATGCTTCCGTGATAGCAACTATTTTGAAGAAAGAAATCTTTCCTGACCAGAATTCAATGATATCAAATATCAATAATCCCTCAATGCTAGGTACGATAAAGGTTCCCTACGACAATAATTGTCATTTTTTCATCCGTTTCAAGTGTTAAATGAAATTAATTCTTCTGATTATCATCTTTCTTCACCAAAGCTTTAAAACCCTATTTAGTTTTCTGTTCAAAATAAAGCATAAATAGATATTGCTATAAAAAATTTGAATGTTTTGGCATGCATTTATGATATACCTAGTTTTCTCTCTTAATCTGATACTATAAATCTACAGGTTCAAGTTTTAGCTTTATATAATCAGCTTTTTGATGATGGAAATATTTTTTTGATGTATAATATTTGAACTGTTTGATAGAAGAACTAATCTTCGTTAGTTGAAGTTAGATGATTTCACTGTTTGATACTAAGTGCAATAATTGTTTGAACTTTGAAATTGCCTCTCCTTTGAGGACAAAATTTTCCAGAATGATATTTCCCTCTAGTGCACAAATATAGTCTCAGTTAATTGACCAGATCTGAAGACTTCCATAGTTTAGTGAAGACGAGATTGAATCATGGATGTAAAAGAAAAAAAATGAGGTTCTTGAAAAGAAATAGCAAATGCAAAAGATACGTATTGGAATGTTGTGCATCTGAAAGCAGCAAGTTGCAGCAACTGTTCATAGCTTAATCACTATTTATCAAGCTTTCAAGGAGGAAAGAACCATTATAAAATTTAACCAGTGGTAGGAAAATGAACCATTTACTGGATCCAATTATACTCAATTTTATAGTAAACAAGTTGGTCAACTTAAGTAGCAGGTGAACAAGGAAACAAAAATTGAAGATTGTGTTAAATAATGAAGGTTGCTTTTGAGTGACATTGCCATTTCCATGACTGGTATCTAAAAGTTGTCATACGATGAGCATTGTCAGAATTTTTTTTTCTGAAAAGATACATTCTTGTGCAAGTCAAAGCCATAATTTGTATCATCCAACTTCCAATACTAGTTGGTAATTCACTTCCTGTACTGATATTATACTATGAAAACTTCTATTCGTTATTGTAGCATGGAGAACCCTTTGGCCACAGGAAAGGAAACGGCAAAGATCATTCTTCCTCTTTGGGCTAGCACTAATACTGCAGCTGGATATTGAGGGCATCAGAACCTTCTTCCAGGCATTCTTCCAGTTACCAAACTGGTGAGTCTATCTTTCTCGACAATAATCATGAAGAAAGTGCAAGTCATAAATTTGATCTTTGAACTCTCATGTCTTTTGCAGTTTAATAGTCCATTAAAATATGCTACCCATACTTGATATCAAGGTTCGCAATACCGTACCGTACCGGTATTTCGACCTGGGCTCGGTACCAGTACGGTACGGTATACCGAGTGGTACACTCAGGTGTGTCGAGTACTGTAGCACTGCTACAATGCTACAGTGCACTCAGACCGGTAACAGACGGTCCGCGTACCGACAACCTGTCGGATCGGTACGTACCGCTCGTACTGGGCGGTACGGTTCGATACGACAGACCCTGCTTAATATGACACATTGTATTTTTTGAAATAAATTTATCGATTCATTTTATTAGACTTCATGGCCGGGATAGAAATTCAGAAAACCATGAACATTAACATGTCAAAAGTCTTAACACCTGCAAGAATTTTTTCCCAAGGTGAGATCGAAACCTACCTAAACCATTCTCAAGGCTGACAAACTTCTGTTGCAGATGTAGCAGCAAATAACTCTTATGATCTTGATTTCACCTGCAGGATGTGGCAAGGCTTTCTTGGTTCCTCACTTTCGTCTGTGGACCTAATATGGTTTGCCTTCTACATGTTTGCCGTAGCCCCAAACAGCATGAGAATGTCTCTTGTCAGACATCTGCTCTCCGATCCTACTGGCGCAACCATGTTGAAGACATACCTCACACTGTAAATCCTCTTAAGATTCACAGCTATCTTAAGTTTTGATTATTGTACATATCATCCCGGAGACTAAGTTATGTTCTGTTTGGTGTCGTTACCTTTGCATGAATAGCATAGTAGTGAGATTCTTAGATGCAGCAGAGCAGGAGGTATTGTGAAGGAAGTTTACCAATAAATGTTATGATATCTACCAGCTTTTACAGGTCTAAATGATTTTTCTTCATTAATTTTGCAGGTTAAATTCCCATTAAATGATATTATCGATTAATGCATTCAGGAAAAATCATGAACCGACTTCGCGATCGGTCCGATCCCATTAGATGTAAGAGAATTAGATTTCATGTATGAACCGGTCGGTTCTTTAACGAACATTGGGAACTGACCGGGTCAGCATGAACCGGTTGGTTTTCCAGTGTATGCGAAGGTCAATAATGTCATTACCTCTTAAATAATACTAACATGAATCAGAGAAATATTTTTATATATTATAGAACATCAATTAATATCGGGATATTATCAATAGCTCGATTTATGCGTCGCATTGATACGAACATTAAGATTTAAAGTTCGGACGCAGAAATTGTTTGAAGCCTTAATCGCGAATAAGATAATATTTCGTGGACTAATCTGCAAAAAGGAAAAGAAGGATCGAGAAAGTGGAATAAGGGAGCAGGAGCTGACCGGCTCCTCTTCTTCCCCCTTTCTTCTCCCTCGCCCCGACCGCAACCCTAATTCCAAGCCTCGCCGCAAATCCCCTCCCGATCTCTCTAATTGATGCGTCGATCCGCCTAATCCCCGCCTCTTACGTGCTCACCCGTTAATTTGTCGGATCGGTCGAGGATCGGAGGGTCGGGAGGAGGCTTGCCCGCCGCGAGCGATGCCGTCGTACGCGGATCTGGACCGCCAGATCGAGCACCTGAGGGAGTGCAAGTTCCTGCCGGAGGCGGAGGTGAAAGCCCTCTGCGAGCAGGCGCGGACCATCCTCGTGGAGGAATGGAACGTGCAGTCGGTGAAGTGCCCCGTCACGGTTTGCGGGGACATCCATGGGCAGTTCCACGACCTTATCGAGCTGTTCCGGATCGGTGGCGAGGCGCCGGACACCAATTACCTCTTCATGGGCGATTATGTAGGTAAGTTTTTTCAGGGCCCGAGACAATATGTTTGGAAAAAGGTAGCTTTGCTTCATTGGGTTCTCAGATTCCCTTGTTTCCGGTATTGGGTTCATTGTAGTTGTGGTAGTGGTGGGAAGGTGATGATGACGACAACATGATGACGAATAGAAACTTTGGGGTATTTAGAGAAGTACTTTTGTTAAGTTCTTCAAAGCCCATACGAAATTAGACAGTTGGAGAACTAGTTTTTCGAGAAAATAATTTTTATTTTCGATCGGTAAATTTGCTTTCTGCGTTGTTTTTAGTTTATTGGAAAACTTTTTAAGAAACCAATAAAAAAATTGTAAGTGAGCATTCCCAAGATGTTGCCAAAATTTCCTGTTTCTATTTTCGGTTATACTTCAAGGATGAGTTGGCTTTCTGAGTTTATGCCACTAAACTCAGCCTACTGAATCTTGCAAATCTTTTCTGTTCTACTTTTGTGAATATTGGAAATCTAATCCTTTTCTCTGCTTGTATCGGCTTCTTATAAAAATACAACTCAGTGATATACTTGCTGCCTCATTTGGAACTGTTATTATTAAACTTCGTCTATGGTGTTTCCTTGATGCGATACTTTCTGATGCAGATCGTGGTTATTATTCTGTTGAGACGGTCACCCTCTTAGTTGCCTTGAAAGTTCGTTACAGAGATAGGATTACGATTCTTAGAGGAAATCATGAGAGCCGGCAAATAACTCAAGTGTAAGTATTTGTATTTGAGAGTTCACCTATGCCGATGGTGCTTCAAAGTGATGATACTGTATTAGTGTATTTTGTACAATAGATATTAAAGATTTTTTATTTGCATCTCTTGACCAGAAAATTGGACATATGACTGATTTTACTGGCTGTTATCTTGATGATGATTCGATGTAACTGTTTGAAAATGTTATTCTGCACAAACATTAATGGTAAAACATTTATTGACATGATCTTTTTAATTGTTTCTTATATATGATTGAATACGATTGTTAAAATACTCGGTTGATTTTTCTCATCATCATTAGTCCTCACCTGATGGAAATTATCTTAAGGTTTTCATCCAGCTGTTGGTTTAACCTACTTAAGGAACTTGATTTATTAAAAGAAACAAACGCATAAGATTCTAGGGCTTGGTAGACCGTCTTATTTTCTTAATGCACATTCAATAGAGGGTTTATAATGATGTTTGAGTGACCTTTCCAGTTAGGAAAGTTAACTAGAGTTGGTCATTCTCATCCAAGTGATACTAATTTTTTGCATATGTTGCTTATTAACCACCCAACACTTGGATTCAGAAAACATTGCTGCCCTATCAACTGTCTTATGAAACTTTCATTTTAATCTATTAGGCTCGGTGATCATACAAAACCCTGGTACTCCTCCCAACTTCAATGGAACAGTGTTTATCTTTCTCAATCTCTCTATCTTATTGAGTAATCAATCCAAGATACTTAAAACTTATTCAAACTTATTGTCCATCCAATTGAATTATATTCTATAATTCATCTCTTAGCATTACTAAAATTGTATCACATATATTCAGTCTTGTTTGTACTTAACTTAAAATCTTTAGTTTCCAAGGTATGTCTCTAACTCAATGTTTCCAAGGTTTTAATATCATTTATGCTTGATAATTATTTCAAGTATTTTAGTACGTACCATATATGTGGCCACATATTCACCCACATGCCTGGTACTTTGACCACCTGCATAATGCAATTGCTTTTTAAACATTGACAAGTCTTGAGATCATCTTGTTTGATCTATCACAAGATCTGATTGTTTTAGAACAACTGAAACTGTTAACAGATCATCCAAGAATTAGGAATAAGATGTCTTGCATCCAGAATACCTTTTTCCAGGATCTCAATTTCGAGTTAGTTGCTTGACTCTGACATGAAGGTTTCTTTAGCTCTTGCATTGTGCTTTGTTTCAACATAACATATTTGGATTCTAGCTATTTTCTAAAAGTATTACTACTGTAAGCTACCTGTTTCATCAAAAACATAGCTCAGGAATTGATGCAGATCAATGTGTTCATGATTGGCTTATAGTTGAGTACTTGAGTCACTCTGTAGGGTTGTCAGTATCATAGACATGACTAGCAGATCTACGTCTACTAATGTTGGCATAATTAAGAAGTCCTACTTTCTTGATGGTTGTTTTTATCACAAGGTCCAATTGCTGTAGAAATTGATGCAGTTAAGCAAGCTATCAATTACTTAAAAATATGATGTCTTACTTCCGAGGTACCTTTTCAGGATTTCCATTTCAAGTTACTTGTTTTGTGTCTGACTTGAATATTGGTTTCTAATTGTAGCTATGATCAGATTATAGCTTACATTGTATAGTTTGGCACAGGCAACATATTTGAGTTGTAGCTATTTCATGTTAAAACTAAATGAATGTTACTACCATAAGCTACATGCTATACATAAAGTATGTGCAGCAGGACTTGGTCTGCTAGACTGATGTCTTCACAATTGGCATATGGTTAATTCACTGCACAAGATTGTCAGACTCAAAAGACACGAGTGCAATAAATTTCCTTGTCTATCATATGCAATTCTTTAAGAACAATTGTCACCAATTGGTATTGTTAGGAATGTCATTGAAGACTTCAGAAAAGGTTGCCTTGCCTCTGGATTATTTTGGTTAGAATTTTCTCTCGAAGTTAATTGCTTTTATATCGACTTGAATATGCCCTTTTAATTATTTGTAAGCAGATTAGATTTTACATTGTATAGGTTGGTCCAACGTATTTTGTCAAAAACAAGCTGAAATTACTACTGATGCCTTCATGATTGGCTTATAGTTGAGTTACTTCATAGGGCTGTCAGACAGATATGAGTGGAGGAATAGTTCCTCATCTATAAAAAAAAGGCATAAGTAAGCAATCTCCATGTATTATATCTCACAAGATCCTTTTTTTAGAACAACTGATACTATTTAGCAAGCTATCAAAGAAGAATCAGACATCTTACTTCTGTAAGCAACCGTTGAGGATTTCGACTCCAAGTTAGTTGTTTTTCATCGCACTTGATTTTTCCTTCTAATTATATATTTCTAGACAGATTAGACCTTAGATTGTATAGCTGCGTCTAATGCAACTTATTTGAGTTGTAGCTATTTTCTTAGAAACAAACTGATATTACTTATTGCTTGCTGCAAGCTAAATGCTATATGAAGAAACATTCAACAAGATGTTGGTCGGTTGCACTGATGTCAAGGTTTTTAATTTCGAATAATACTGTCCATATCGGGCAGTACGTACCGGTCCGTCGGTAGACCGGTACACGGACCACCCGCTACCGGGCGGTACCGT